TTTTATAAATTAGGATAGCAGCTTGTTATTTTTACACTTGCAGCGATTTGTTGTGCACTTAGTTATGCAATAGCCTTGTCTCCCAGTCAATGATTGTGAAGATGCGATGGTTCGTAGTGATTTTTCCTCAGTGCCAACTGACGACAATAAGAGCAGTTTTTCTTGAAGAATTGAAAACTCACTTCTAGCATACAGTTGTTTTAGAACACCATGTTCCGTTCTTAATTTGTAGAAACCGCCCTCGACGCTCATGACAACAGCAATCACGCTTCGCGGATCACCGTGACCAGTGTTTCTTCCAGACTTTTTTTCTCCGGGGGGGGGGGGGGGGGGGGGCTTTGCCTGAATGAAACTCTGACCGTGACCTATGTCAACATCTGGAAAACGGATGCATACATTGTCACCCAATTCACCCTCTTTAAATTTGTATTTGATGTTTTAAGCATCTTAGCACCATGAGTTTGCAAGCTAGTATGAACTGCTGACCTGTGTTCCATGATATATTGTTTGTTGTGACACAATCTGCAGGTAATGTTTCCTCCGTACCCTTCGTCTGCTTCATTGGGTATTTCACAAGTTGCATGGACATCGTTGCCACAGGATCCAAAAGAAGGAGCTGCACTACAATGTTTTTCACAAACTATACAGAATCTGTTGGCCACATTATTGTCACGCAACTGGTCTGGGCGTTCCGCCACGGCAGTAGATGTGTTAGCTGAGGATGTCGTTGCATTTGTGGCAACCTCCATTTCTTGTTCAATGTTCTCAAGATCTTCCTCAGTAATTATTTTATCCAGGGCCCTTATATGGAAACTAACATGGATTTACATTTTTTTTCTTTTGACAGCCATCTGCTATGTCTGTCTCATGGTCTGACGGCCCTTTTGGTCCATGTCGCCTTGCATATAGAATGCTATACAAACAAGAGCTGAACAATACGTTACTTTAAATGAAAACGCACCCAAAATAATGAAAATGCGATCACAACTTAGTCTAGATAGAACATTGGCCAGGACATCCCGGCCAGTGCGCGCATTGGCCGGCCAATGTACAAAATACGCTGTCAATTTTAAGCGCTTCGGACTTTGGCCAGTGCGTCCCGGCCAGTGCGCGCATTGGCAGGCCAATGTACGAAATAAGATCTTAGTGCTAAGTTCTTCGGGCTTTGGCCAAGAGAGCCGGCCAATGCGCGGATTGGCCGGCCAATCCGCGCTTTGGCCGCACTTCGGGCTTTGACCGTAACATATATATATATATATATATATATATATATATATATATATATATATATATATATATATATATATATATCGCATTGGCCGGCCAATGTACGAAATACGATCTTAGTGCTAAGTTCTTCGGGCTTTGGCCAAGAGAGCCAGCCAATGCGCGCAATGGCCGGCCAATCCGCGCTTTGGCCGCACTTCGGGCTTTGAACGTTACATATATATATATATATATATATATATATATATATATATATATATATATATATATATATATATATATATATATATATATATATATATATATATATATATATATATATATATATATATGTATATATATATATATATATGTATATATATATATATATATGTATATATATATATATATATGTATATATATATATATATATATATATATATATATATATATATATGTATATATATATATATATGTATATATATATATATATATATATATATATATATATATATATATATATATATATATATATATATATATATATATATATATATAAAACAATTTATGTCTGTGTGTTTGTCCTTTATGCATTACTACACCTCTCATCACATCGCCGTGAAACTTGCAGTGACACCGTTCATCCGATAGGCATGAAACTTTGGGAAGTTGTTGAGAATATTCCTGGGGAGGTTTCTGCGGAAAAAAAAATTCAAATTCGCCGGGGTGGCGCCCCGGCAGGGCGCGATTTGTTTTTTTTTATATACGGTATATAAAAATAAAAGTCGATTTTGGTTTGGCATCGTTCATCCGATAGCCATGAGACTTTGGGGAGTTCATTATACCACTCTAGGGAATGGTTCTGTAAAAAAAATAATTTTTAATTTCGCAAGGGCGGCGCCACGGGAGGGTCCGATTTTTCTCTATTTACGGTATATAAAAATAAATTTAAAAAATAATAAAAGTGAATTGCAATGACACCGTTTATCCGATAGGCATGAAACTTTGGGGAGTTCATTATAAAACTCTAGGAAAGGGTTCTGTAAAAAATTATTTTTAATTTCGCAAGGGCGGCGCCACGGGAGGGTGAGATTTTTCTCTATATACGGTTTATAAAAATAAGTCGATTTTGGTGTGACACCGTTATCCAGCAACCATGAGACTTTGGGGGAGTTGATTAGAACAATTTAGCGAAGGGTTCTGTAAAAAAAATCCTTTTTTTTAATTTCGCAAGGGCGGCGCCACAGGAGGCTGCGGTTTTCTCTATATAAGGTTTATAAAATTTCGGTTTCACACCGTTCATCCGTGTACCATGAAACTTTGGGGAGATGATTAGATCACTCAATGGTAGTGTTCTGCAAAAAAATATTGTTTAATATTGCAAGGGCGGCGCCCCCCGGGGGGAGCGATTTTTTTTCTCTATACACGGTATATAAAAAATAAAACTCGGATGCGGTTCATCCGAGTGCCATGAAACTTTAGGGAGTAGATGAGAATACTCCCGAGAATATTTCTGCGAAAAAGAAAACTTAAGTTTCTTACGGGCGGCGCCATATAGGGTACAACTTTCGTCAATACACGGTTTTGCGCCCAGAGTTTTAGAGCGACTAAGTTGGCACTTGGCATCCGTTAATCGAGCGTTCTGCATAGCGAGTAAGGGGTACTACTATATTCAGCGGTAAAACTACAACAGGCTTCTAAAAATAACTTTGTAACGCGAGGAAATCCTTCTGTACAGTTTTGTCACCTTGCGAAAGATGAAAAAATAACTTTTTGAATATGAGGAGCCTACTGTCGAGTTTCGTCACTTTACGAATGATGCAATAAGCATCTATTATTAGACAATCCAGTCAGAAATTGAGATCAAGCATCTAATAATAGACCATTAGTAACGCTAGCATATTGCATCAGTCACACTGATATTTAAAACACGTCAAATAATTTTTGTACGTGTTAAAGAAAAAAATCCTGTTCATTTGTGTCACTGAAACCTCCCCAGGAATATTCTCAACAACTTCCCAAAGTTACATGGTGATGTGATGGGAGGTGTAGTAATGCATAAAGGACAGACACACAAACATACATTGCTTTATATATATATATATATATATATATATATATATATATATATATATATATATATATATATATATATATATATATATATGGCTACAGGACATTACCCCCCTGGATATTTCCCCCCCGGACATTTCCCCCCCGTATTTACCCCCCGGAGCAATTACCCCCCTGTCAATTACCCCCCCCCCCCTGTCAATTACCCCCCCGGGGAATTACCCCCCCCCCTATCAAGTTAAAATCCTAACTCTAACTAGAATTTTTCTTCCTATATACTACTTTAATCCAAACCTTAAGAAAAAAGACCAAAACCTAAGCATCCACCTTAGCCTAAAACTTCACTCAAAACCAAAACCAAAGCTAGACACAACCCTAACCCTAAAACTAGCTCTAACCCTAACCCTAGCCCTAAACCTAGCCCTAACCCTAACCTTAACCTTAACCCTAGCCCTAAAACCTAACCCTAGCCCTAAACCTAAACCTAGCCCTAACCTTAACCCTAGCCCTAAAACCTAACCCTAACCCTAGCCCTAAACCTAACCCTAACCTTAACCTTAACCCTAGCCCTAAAACCTAACCCTAACCCAAACCGTAGCCCTAGCCCTAGTCCTAGCCCTAGCCCTAGCCCTAACCCTAGCCCTAACCCTAACCCTACCTCTAACCCTGTCCGGGGGGGGGGGGTAATGTCCTACTGGGTGGGGGGTAATTGACAGGGGGGTAATTGACAGGGGGGTAATTACTATGGGGGGTAATGTCGTGGGGGGGGGGGGGAAATATCCGGGGGGTAATTGACAGGGGGGAAATGCCCTGTTCCCATATATATATATATATATATAGACAGACAGACCGACCGACCGACCGACCGACCGACAGACAGACAGACAGACAGACAGACAGACAGACAGACAGACAGACAGACAGACAGACAGACAGACAGACAGACAGACAGACAGACAGACAGACAGACAGACAGACAGACAGACAGACAGACAGACAGACAGACAGACAGACAGACAGACAGACAGACAGACAGACAGACAGACAGATAGATAGATAGATAGATAGATAGATAGATAGATAGATAGATAGATAGATAGATAGATAGATAGATAGATAGATAGATAGATAGATAGATAGATAGATAGATAGATAGATAGATAGATAGATAGATAGATATAATGATGGAAAAATTTTTTAACCCCCAATGAGACGATCCTGACTATGCCACTGTAAGCCGGTATCTACGCTGTTTACGTCACATCACACAGAAGGTGGATTTACCGCCGGTCTTCCTCATTAAAGTTCGGCCAATGCATTATCTTGTATGTAGTTATATTGAATTAAATTAGTTTCCTCTCAGATTGCATCAAAACAAAAACTAGTAAGCGTGTTCATGATAATCAAAATTCTAAACAAATAGATCCTAGATCTATATCAAATGATAAATACTAGTCTAAACTTTAAAAATCTACTTTTTATAAAAGATTACCAATAGTCTAAATTACTCTAAATAAATAGACGTCTAGATCTTGAGTGTAGATCTCGATCCTATCCTATTAGATTAGATTTAGAAGATCAATAGTTTAAAATCTAAATAAATTAAATAGAAATATCTAATCTAGACTAGATCACTATCACTATTTGACTATATGATGTAAAAAGTTATTAAACCCATTATAAGTTGTTCTATGAACTCAACAGTTATCTGTATTACTTACATTGACCGTTCTCAAATTATATGCACGATAAAACCAGCTCTTGTGTTGCCCTTTGTAGAATCTAGTCTACTTTACGAATGATTTGAACAAGAGGTTAAACCTCTTGGATAGTAGATTTACCGGAAGATGATTGACGTCATCACAAAGTAATTCATGTTTTAGAAAACAATACATCATTTTTTAGAGCGCTTATTTCGGTGCAACAAACAAGTCAGTCATTTTAGAAATAATTTAACAAAAAACGTGTGTTATAACAAGCTTTTATATATGTACTTAAAAGAAGCATGAAAATATTTTCTTCCAATATATTATAATGTTCCTCTTTTAAAATAACTATTAAAAGTGTTGTTCGATATTTGATTATTAATATTATGTACCACATGAAATCTCCAACACATTATAGCGACAAATGCCTTATTAAAGAAAGACAATTCGTTTTATTTTATTTAATGTATTTTCAGTGCATTTAAATTCTTATTAATATAAATGTTTTGAATTTTTTTTAAGTTTATTTAATGTCCGCCAAGCTGCGCCTTTGAACGACCACCCTGCTCCTCTTACACTAGCCTGTAAATTTATAAACCACTGCAACTAGCGGACCTAACATTGTAAGAGGGTGATGTTAACATAGCATCACAGGGCGTAGGGCGGTGTTAAAGTTCACCGCTCAGGGCTGTAGAGTTCTTGGATGAACTACAACGACCACCAACGACTGAAGAATAGACTTGGATGAACTACAACGACTACCAACGACTGAAGAATAGACTTGACTTGGATGAACTACAACGACCACCAACGACTGAAGAATAGACTTGGATGAACTACAACGACCACCAACGACTGAAGAATATACTTGGATGAACTACAACGACCACCAACGACTGAAGAATAGACTTGGATGAACTACAACGACCACCAACGACTGAAGAATAGACTTGGATGAACAAAAACGACCACCAACGACTGAAGAATAGACTTGGATGAACAACAACGACCATCAACGACTGAAGAATAGACAACGCCATGCCCTCCAGGTATTACAAGAAAAATTATGACTATGTTGTAATACAACTTCAAATATCGACACCCCCAACCCCCCCCCCCCCCTCCTCCCGAAACGCCGGCCCTATGTAAATGACCATTATTTTCGCAACTGATTCTTGATGTATTTCAGCTTGAGGCAGGGGATAGCTGACACCTTCTTATATTGAGGGTTATGTGACATCATCTTAACTTAGTGTTTTTTTTAAATTACCAAGAGTTAGCTGTCATTTCGGGGATGTATCGGGAGGAGTTCTAGCCGGTCTGCGCAGTGCATGCCAAACCAACCTTTTCTTCTATTCCTCCTTACTCCATCAACGGAAAAGTGTCATGTCGCTTTCTGTAGACGTGTGTTGCTGATGGTGTCTTGCCAGCAGATCCTGAGTATTTGTCTTGACAGCTGTTTATAAAAGTCTGGACTGTATCTGGACTATATCAAGTGTGGTCTGTGTCGTTCTCAAGTCTCTGCCTCAAGGAAAGGTCACTGGAAGCCCAGATGTTCTGTTGCTATACGAGGGCTGCTCTTGCTTTGACATCTATTCCGTCTCGGTGGACAACAATACTACTTAAGTAGGTGCTTACTCAACAGCTATTGATAAACTTTCGTTACTGGAGGATTATCTGACATACTTGGAGATGCCGGTCTATACAATATTTCTTTGTTGTAAAAATCAAAGTAACAATGTGTGTTTCATGTAATTGTATCTTTTATTGGGTGAACTTTTACTTAAAACCTGAATTAGTTAAAGACTGTACTCGTTGCGACCAAGTAGAAACATGAGATGTTATCGCTTTTTCATGTCCCTTTTTAACGCATTTGCACTGCATCGTGTAGGTGGCTTCTTCTCAGTCGTTTCTTCATGTAAACGTATTCAAATATTTCCCGTGGGAGGTTGTTAGAACAACCCACCAGTGTTTGTCCCAGTAAACAAAGTGTTGCCACCTGTAGAAAGGCCTGTGTTTGTACCTAGAGAAAATAACAAATCTTAGCTGCCTTAATAGGTTGAGCTTATCTACAAACATTTTCACATTCTTGACCCAAAGTTATTTACACTCTGATAGAGCCATTCATGTTTACATAGGATATGCTATCTAGTAGCCATACATGTTTACATAGGATAGGTTATATAGTAGCCCATAAATGTCTACATAGGATAGGCTATCTAGTAGCCATACATGTCTACATAGGATAGGCTATAGAGTAGCCATACATGTCTACATAGGATAGGCTATAGAGTAGCCATAAATGTCTACATAGGATAGGCTATCTAGTAGCCATACATGTCTACATAGGATAGGCTATAGAGTAGCCATACATGTCTACATAGGATAGGCTATAGAGTAGCCATACATGTCTACATAGGATAGGCTATAGAGTAGCCATACATGTCTACATAGGATAGGCTATAAAATAGCCCATAAATGTCTACATAGGATAGGCTATAGAGTAGCCATACATGTCTACATAGGATAGGCTATAGAGTAAGCCATACATGTCTACATAGGATAGACTATAGAGTAGCCATACATGTCTAAATAGGATAGGCTATAAAGTAGCCCATAAATGTCTGCATAGGATACAAACGTACCTGTTCCAGATGGGTAGGTGGATCCTCCTAACCCAGCAATAGCAGTTCCACTATAAGGTCCTGGAACTGCAAGAGAAATATCAGACAGGTGAGGATCAAACCTAAGTACCAGCTTCTGGTTTACTGTCACGGCAAGATGGAACTCAATTAGGTAGCAACATTTGTCATACAATTCCGGCTCTTGTTGAAAACTATTGGTTAGTTACACACAAAAGCTTTAGTAGCCCACAACAGCTTTTGTTGCCCACTAAATGTCTAGTTGCCCACTACTCAAAATATGCATCAAAAGTTTTAGTTGCCCAATAATTGTCTAGTTGCCCACTACTCAACTTAGGAATCAAAAGTTTTAGTTGCCCATTATTCAACTTTTACATAAACAGGTCTAGTTGCCAATATTCAACCATCAACTTGACTTAATATCTAGCTATCAATCAAAAGTCTCAATTCTCAACAAATCAATGATAGGGCTTCCTATTCTAAACTCAACTCACCAATGATAGGACTTCTAAACTCACAAGTGTAATTGTTTCCTATTCTTAACTCACCAGTGTTAGTGTTTCCTATTCTTAACTCACCAGTGTTAGTGTTTCCTATTCTTAACTCACCAGTGTTAGTGCTTTCTATTCTAAACTCACCAGTGTTAGTGTTTCCTATTCTTAACTCACCAGTGTTAGTGTTTCCTATTCTTAACTCACCAGTGTTAGTGCTTTCTATTCTAAACTCACCAGTGTTAGTGTTTCCTACTCTAAACTCACCAGTAGTAGTGCTTCCTATTCTTTCAGTGGCGGGGAGGGAATCTTTACTAATGGTACAGCACGTTGTAGTTGGCCTTTGGGCTAGCGCGTCCAGGCAGATCTGTTGTATAATGATAGGATTGTAGTACACCTCGTTAAGGCCTCAAAGGTATGTCAATGATGCATGCTTTGTTTGAAAAGCTTAAGTGTGTGTGTGTGTGTGTGTGTGTGCGTGCGTGCGTGCGTGCGTGCGTGTGTGTAATGACGGAATTTGAAGATCAGCTAAATTCTTCATGTGAAACATTAACTCAATTCTGAAAGAAAACAATGATGTAAGAAGAAACAATACGATATAAGAATCAGGGTTCAATTAAAGAAACTATAAGACAGAAGAATGGAGAGAGCGTATGACTGATATCCTGAAAATGGCTAGAGTGCATCCAAGCTTGTTAGCATCCAGCTCTGAAGGATACTTTCATTATGTTTGGGAAAGTAAAGACATCTGGGGTGCTGACCACACTTAGAAAGCATATGGACTCTACTTCAACTGCGCCATGGAACACAAGGTTCGAGAGTGAAATAGAAAGAGATACTCACAACAATGCCGTGGCCGTTCAGATCAACTTCAGCAACATTTCTGATCACACTGGAATAGCTGGTTCCACCTTGGTTAATGATGATTGGATCCTGGATGTATCCGGCGCTGGTGATTAAGTGCATCTTTTAACTTTGTAGCTTAGCACACTCATTTTTATTAAAGACATAAATGTACTTTTCAGTTTAACACAATCATTTTTATTAAAGACATAAATGTACTTTTCAGTTTAACACAATCATTTTTATTAAAAGTATAACTGTAATTTTTTACTACAAGAGTGTTAATGAAATGTTTTACTATGTAATAGCGGTATGATGTGTGAGTTCTGCGGTTAGAAAAAAGCGAGACTTACGGGGTCATCTGTCCAAACATGTTGTTTCCATATTGTTGAAATGGTCCACCTGGCGTCAAATTAGAATGTTTTTGATTGGTTTAGAGTGGTTAAATGTGAATGTTAACAATTTTGTGATAGCTTGGTTTAGAGTGGTCTAATGTGAATGTTAAGGGGATATGCGCAGTTTTTTCCCCTATTTTTTACAATTTAAGATCTAAAGCCTTTTGAATACTATTACCAATTTTTTGCACATGAAAGTAAGTATTAAACAGCAAAAAAAATAATTTTGAAAGCAATTTTGGTTGTTATGGAAAACCCTAAAAACCTCCGCCATTTTGAATTTTTCGGTACTTTAAAAAATGCTAAGGCTTTTTTATTTATGCACTTAAAGCAATCAAATTTAAACTGCTTATATTTCAGTATATATTAAAACTTTGTCACGACAACATTTAGAAATAGCTACTAGTAAGAATTTCACAAAGTCTAAAAAATCGTACCCTTTTTAGTATTCAAAGTTTCAAAATTTGCATATTAATTACCAAATACTTTTTTTCTATGAAAGCCATCACAATTCCCTCGTGACAAAAGTTGTATTTTTGCATGAAGAACAATTACTGAAGATATAGTGGGCATTGCTTGATAAATAAAAAAAGGAGGAGGGTTTTTAGTGTGTAAACTGTAAAGCCGATTGTAAACTTTGGGTGTTTCCGAGATGATGGAAATTAAGATTATCAAATACATGAGAAATATAGCTTTCCAATGATGCCAAATTCAATATGATTACGGATATAAAGAACTTGTAAGATTGGGAAAAATAGATTTTTTTTAATTAATAGGGTCATAAAAATGGTATTTTAAACACAACATTTTTTTCTGATAAAAATTATTATTTTGTTAATACAAAAATGGACAAAGTATCTAAAAATGCAATAAACCCATCCTGACGAAAAACAAGAAATTTTGTAATTTTTTTACGGCGCATATCCCCTTAACACTTCTGTGATTGCTTGGTTTAGAGTTGTCAAATGAGAATGTTAACAATGGTGTCAGTTTTGTATGAAATGGGACATGTTGAGAACGTTTTAAAACTTACCTCTTGGAGCCCCGGCGCTAACGAGATCCTCGTTCTGCAGCAAAGAGATTTAAAAAAAAATTACGTAAAAAACCTTAAAGTATATTATTGTATCAAAATTCTACAACAGTCCTGAAGAGTGTACCTGGAGGATTCCACCTAGCCCAGCACATTGGCCGTCAGTACGTCCGTAACGTGTTACAGCCAGGAAAAAGTTGCCATGGAGCGAGCTGGTTCCTGTAGGACTGGAAACACCCACGGAGGCCGCGGGTAGGTAGACGGCGCTGATCCTCCAGTCTTGTCTCTGGAGTTCTCTTGGTGTTCCAAATTGAAAAGCGGGGTTTTGGCCAGGGAAGCTACCCTGTTATTGATCAATGTAATAAAGGGTGGTCAATTTTATTTTTATAACAAAGCCTAGTTAACTTTATTTTTACTTGTGAACTTTATTTTCAAGCTAGTTCATTATTTAACAAAGGCTAGTTAACTTTATTTGTACAACATAGGCTATTCAACTTTATTTGCACAACATTATTTTCAAGCCAGTTCATTATTTAACAAAGATCAGTGGCGTAGCGAGGTCGGGTGTCACCCGTTGCGGCAGTTAATGGTGTCACCCCCCCCCCCCCCCCCCCCCGAGGCATAGCGACCCATCCCGGGGACAAACTTTCAAATTTTCGATTTGCACCTCCCTCAAATTTTCAATTTACCCCCCCCCCCCCTCAAACTTTCGATTTGCACCGTCCTCAAGTTTTTCTCTATATATTTTGCTATTTTTTGCCTTGGTGTCACCCCCTTAAATGGTGTCACCCCGTTCGGTCCGCACCCCCCGTTCCCCCTCGCTACGCCTCTGACAAAGATATGTCAATTTTATTTTCACGCTAAGCTATTATTCAAATAATCGTTCCACTATTATACTTTCTTTGATAGTTTATCAAATTTAGGCTAAAAAAAGTAATTTCAGATATCTAACATAATTATCTAATTAAAACAAGACGTTTTCCTACAGATTCTGGTCTGATGGTCACTCTAAACTGATCGTATGCCTCGTTGTTTCCAATGCAAGTAAGAATTTGTGGAGGTTGAAAAGCTGTGGACAAAAATTTCAACACCTAAATAAAAAGTTGAATCAAATGCTCAAACAGTTTTCATTTTGATCAACAGGATACAATAGAAGGCGTCGGGTATTTATTCCGCAATAAACATTGTTGAAATAGTCGATAACTTCTACTATCACCGATATCAAAGTTGGTTAAAATCACGCTTAATTTCGCTTGACTGCTACTACAGCAGATATCAAAGTTTGTTAAAAGTACAAGGAAAGTGTGCATATCAAGGTTTGTTAAAAGCAAATTGTTTGCCAATTACTGTCGAAATAAAATTCTGTGAAATTTTAGGGAGCATGTCCAAGTTGAAGTAAATACCAAGACATGAATTCCTTTAATATCGAAGTAATTTAATGAAGTGGAGGAAATTTATGAATTAGGCTATAAGATTTAAAATAAAAATAACGTTTATCCACTGCTCTAAAACTGAGTGTGTATTTGGAGAGCTTTAGTGCAAATTCTCATCAATTTAAAAAAAATAATGAGCATGTAGTTAATAACAATAAAGGACTTAAACAATATCAACATAAGGAGGTTTATTTACACCCGTCTCCATTTTAAATAGGATCAGTTCTACTTTTTCCGCTCTTTGGAAAAATGTGTTTTGTTTTATTTATTTTATTTGTGTCATTTTTTTCAAGTTTGACAAAAAAAATCGAGAAAGTCCGAATTTTTCCAGAAAAACCTAATGGTGTACAACTAGTAATAACTTTGATGATCTATTTGGCAAAGTTGCTAGTTTTAAAGCTAAATTATTTTTTATTATTTAATTTAATATTTAATTTAGTTTTTACTGTTTTAAAAAAAGGGTACGTGTATTTTTACAAGCTTTTATTTAACTCACTTCCTCTGTCTGTCGTAAGTCGTCAGTCGTCAGTCTAGATAGAAACGCTGGAATGAAAATTCGGACAGTTCTACTTGACCGATACGATTCACATTTGACACGTGGGTCAAGACATGAAGACAATGCAATCTGAAACTAAATTTGACTTAATTGGATGCCTAATTAATTTTTTATGAATTAATAAAAATTTGGACCGAATTAGTAGGCATGTCTAGCCAACCACACCACACGCGTCATCACCTTCAATAGCTGCGCCATCACGTAATGGCTGCGTTCAAAAACCATTGCGCGCCTACTGAACGTGATGTTCAGTAGGCGCGCAATGGTTTTTAGTCATGTAACTCTATTGTAAATAAAACATGTAAAGTACTGAAAAAAAAATTCATAAAAAACGTTTTAATAACAAGCTTTTATGTAATGATGCACTAAAAAGTAGAAAATAAATTATAGACTACTATTTAATTAACTATAAAGAAAAGCGTGGGTGTCTTCCTTAACATTAGTAAAGGTATCCAATAGATACTAAAGTGACCCACGCTTTTCTTTATAGTTATTTAAATAGTAGTCTATAATTTATTTTCTACTTTTTAGTGCATCATTACATAAAAGCTTGTTATTAAAACGTTTTTTATGAATTTTTTTTTATAACTTCGGTTTCGTTTTGACGAAGTTAAAAATAATTTGCCTCTATAAGATTTGCAATGAACGACGATAAAGCCTTACCTTGAGGAAATCCTTGTCCGCCAAAAAGGGGATTAAATCCACCAGGAAATCCCGGAAGCCCTCCAACACCACCTAAACCTCCGAATCCTGGAGGAGCTCCAGCCCCACCAAGGCCACCAAATGGACTTTGGCCACCAAATTGGCCGCCAAATGGACTTTGGTTACCAAAGTTGCTTCCAAACTGAGCAGTTGAGCTAGAGACGTAGGTAGCGACCAGCAGAAGAACGATCTTATAGTGAGCCATGGTGATTTGAGTTTATGCTGGTGGTTTTCTTGTCGTGTGTGCTGCTTGCGGTGCAACACTCTTCTGTCGTTCTTGGTTCGTCTCGGCGGCTTTTCTTTATAAAGCTGGGCAAGATGAGACTAACAGGAGCGTCATGGGATTGACTGGCCCATTTCTCCTACATGGCCTCAGGTCATCTCGCGTACTAACGGGACAGGAAGCTTATTTTAATAGAGGATCGGCCGGCCAGACGTCATTTGTAGCCTCATTTCTTCATTACAGCTGTATAGGATTCTATTTATTGTATGAAAATACTTCTCCTTTAAAAAAATAATAGTATATCCCTACAGTCTCTCTCTTTATATGTATATATATATATATATATATATATATATATATATATATATATATATATATATATATATATATATATATATATATATATACATAAATGCGTGTAATATATATACCAGATCCTCCCCCTCCCGAACGAAATGAAATTTATGCAGAAAATATATACTTTTAACAGTGTCCGCCCCCCCCCCCCCCCCCGAGAAAGTCTACCGATTTTACCCTGCGTTCAATGGGATGGAAGATAAGCCTTATGAGAACCAAAGGATAGAAGCGTACGATGCAAGTTATTCTAACCGATATCCAAGCAAGTTAGTCGGCGTTTGTCGTGTTGAGGCCTGACTGCCTAATGGGAGACACCTCCTGGGCCGTTGATTTCCATAAAGAAAAAATAAAATAAAAATTAACAGCTTCTAAAGTGGATTGAATAATATTATTTGATTACTAATTTTACTATTCTGCCAAAATATGTCTATGTTTTTATATGAATAAATATCATTTCATTTTTAAAGCTATTTATTTTAAATAACAAATCCAATTTATTTACCTAGTTCTAATCAAATATCAAATTATAGAACTAAAAATAGTGGCTCTTTAAAAACTGGGAAATTTTGTTGTAACTTTTGGCTCTAGCGTATCAAAAGGTTGCCGACCCCTGGGCTAGGAGAATGACGGTGAGTTAGGTGTGGGTCAGTACAGTGTTGGATTTTTTTTCAGATTGCTGTTCATGTGTCGTAAGGTCTATTTATGGTGGTCGGCGCTGTTATTTTAATGTAGTGAATTCTTATTAATTAAACTATATCTCTCTTAGAACCCTTTAAAAAACCATAAAGATTACAATTGCGCCAATTTTTTTGACACTCCTTATACACTCCTTAAAGAAAGATAATGATGCAGTCAGCTGCTTATTCATTTTGCTTTATTTGCTTTAAGGGGATATGCAAGTGTAGCACTATAGTATAACAAACCATTGGCCTTCCCCACCGTGCTCCTCCACCATTTGCCTTCCCCGCCGTGCCCCTCCACCATTTGCCTTCCCCGCCGTGCCCCTCCACCATTTGCCTTCCCCGCCGTGCCCCTCCACCATTTGCCTTCCCCGCCGTGCCCCTCCACCATTTGCCTTCCCCGCCGTGCCCCTCCACCATTTGCCTTCCCCGCCGTGCCCCTCCACCATTTGCCTTCCCCGCCGTGCCCCTCCACCATTTGCCTTCCCCGCCGTGCCCCTCCACCATTTGCCTTCCCCGCCGTGCTCCTCCACCATTTGCCTTCCCCGCCGTGCCCCTCCACCATTTGCCTTCCCCGCCGTGCCCCTCCACCATTTGCCTTCCCCGCCGTGCTCCTCCACGTCTCCCTTCTCCTACCTTTTCGTTTTCCCTCATCAGAAAAATAGCTTATGGTTGGAGCGTGGGGGGAAGGCTAACGTCTTTGGTCGAAATAAATTTTAAGAGCTAAGAAAAAAATATAACACCTCTTTCTATATTTAAAATTACACAGTAACTTGTTTACTAGAAAATAAGTATATTGTACAGAAAAGAGCAGACTTTGATTTCTTGATTCATAATAAGCCCTAATACTACAATTTCCATATACGTAAGGCCTTTAGACCCATTAAACGAGGTACAACGTACAACATGACGACTTCTACTGCTTTGTTACTTTGTTCAACATATGTGATCATTTTAAACTGTCCTATACTAGTTTCGAAATTGTTCTAAAAACAAATAAGCTTGCACCTTCTGCGAACTACAATCTAAATTCTAAACCAATGGTTCTTAACCTTTTTGGAGTTACTGAACTATATCCTAATATATAAAAGGCCATGTGCGCTCTTCTCTCTCTCTCTGTCCGCAAAATATTTTCGCCGGACATCACATCAGAATCGGCAGCGATATATGGATACCTTTATACGGACTTTTGTTGAAAATAATATGTTAGATGTTTTAAATGTATAACCACAATTTTATTTAAAGAAGAAAAATAAAAAATAAAGGCGTATTCGAATGTAGAGAAACAGTATTATTTATGCAACCGGAAAAGTGTTTAAACTTGGGACAAGAACGCATTTAACAATGACGTCGCTTATTGTTTACACTTAAAAAAGAGCACGAAACTGATGACGTCATCTTCCGAGTTTAGAATAAAAAGAAATGAACTATTTCATTCAAATATGATTTAGAGCTATGTAGGCCTACGCTATGAAATGTATACAATACGATTTTCTCGGCCTAAACTTAAAAAAATTATTTTATCTATTTGGATTCTAGATCTAGAGATTCTAGATCTAGATATTGATCTAGATCTAGATATTCTAGATCATCTAGATCTGGAGATTCTAGATCATATAGATCTAGAGATTCTAGATCTAGATCTAGATCAGGGGTCTCCAAACTTTTCAGCCCGAGGGCCACATTAACTATCAAATATCAGTTCGGGGGCCAGGGTTTTTTCCAGGCATCTTTTCGGGGTGGTAGAGTCCCCCCCACCCCCCCCCCCCCCACCCCCCGAAGAATGGCTATCTCCCCCACCTTCCCCCACGAAATTTAATTTATGTAGAAATATATACAAATTTCAAGTGTCGTCGTCCACCCCCTCCCCCCCCCCCGGAGAAAAATGTCTGAAAGAAACACTCTCGGGGGCCGACAACACACACCTGTTTCAAGTCTGTTCTCAAATTGTTCTTCACGTATTTCACTCTTGAAAATGTACGTTCACACAGGTATGTTGTTCCGAAATTTGAAGGTACTTTGATGCAAAAGTTTTAGGAAAGTCTTCCGTTTAAAAAACCACCCTTCCTTCTTTGAACTAGTCTCTATGGAGGTCATTTGCTTGTAATTCAATGACCTCCAACTGCAGTTCATTTTGGCAACTGGCCACATTGGCTTAAAGAGGGCTTTGAAATAGTCTCACTTCTTCTGCCTTTGAATCCAAGTCAGAAAACCGCTACTAAAACTGCAGCTGGAGGTCTTTGATGATCTTGCATGGAATTTCATGGAAATGACCTGGGGCACAGCTGTTGCTTCAGATTTGATGACCTTGCACTGCTGAAAGTGCGTCCAGTTGTTGGCCTGTACTTGTCCCGAAACCATGACAAGTTTGGACCAGAAGGCCTTTAGGTGGGTGTATAGATCAGAAACTAGATGTCCCGCTCTTGTAGTCTTATGTTCAGAAAATTTAAATGACGTGTTATGTTTGCAGCAGAGGCCAATTTTTATACTTTCCATCAGACATTAGTGGCAGCGGCTTGCTTTATTTTCCAGGTCACCTATTTCATTTCTTAACTTAAATACCCTGCTCAGAACTTTCTCACAACCTAGTCATCTTACTGGTAAATCTTGCGATTCTGTGTTTGTATCTTTTAACATGTCTCTGAACTATATATGGTTGAGCCCACAGGATTCACTACACTGCATATGTCCATATATTAAAGCACACAAAGCTTGCTGGTGAAAAATACAGTGCAGGAACATTGGTTGTAGAATGTTGTTCTCATTACACATCTGCTCCGCTTGTCCAACCAAGCCTTTCTTTATTCCCATTTACTCCATCAGCAGTCAGGTAACTGAGGTTAGTCCAGTCCAAGTTATAATCAGCAAATGTTTTTTTTAACTCATTGAATATATCCTCTCCGGTAACAGTGTCATAAAAGCCAGCTCTTGTCTTATGTTTATGTCTTCATCCACACCCCTAATAAACACAAGCAGTCAAGAGGTGGAGCAGCTGTCCAGCGACTCATCCATTGCAATTGAAAAATTACGAAACTTGCTTTCATTTTTCGCTATTTGAGTTACAATGTTTTCATCGATGTCTGCAACACGGTAGGCAACGGTAGTTGCACCCAAAGCTACATTTTCAAATTGTTATGAATTTTCTGGGCAAAGTTCCTCAGCCACCACCAACAAACATTTTTTTTTCCGTGGACAAAAAGATCTCCGCGGGCCGGATGAGAGGACCTTGCGGGCCGCATCCGGCCCGCGGGCCGTAGTTTGGAGACCCCTGATCTAGATGATCTATAAGCTAAATTTGGCAGGATTTTGCCTTGGGGCGACAGAACACGGGGGCCGGTTGGCCGAGAAGTCTACGATGAGGGGGTTAAAACTGACCTCGACTGACCGGTGCCTTATATGAGCTATAAATCGAAAAAAAATGTCCACGTAGGAACCTCTTCATAACTCCTGAGGTCGTAGACCGACCCTCGGGCAAATTAATTAAGCATTCAAATTCTCAATGTTTTCGAAAGCCTAAGCGAAGCTGGGCAGCATGCCTAGTTCAATTATAAACGGGGAGATAACAAGAGTAAATACAAGCGATCGCGCGATCAGCTCGCCATAGAGAGTGAATTTTTGTCAAAGTGGACGCCGAAGAATGCCATTGTCTGCAAACTAGTAATCGGGTTTGAAAACAAATATTCTTAATTGAAGCCTATGTAGATCTAGTGTCAACTTCATTTAGAACGAATTACTAAAAGGTGGAAAATAAAGCAAATATAAAAACATTTAAAAGAACAAGCTTTTTTTAACATAAGTTTTAGTCTCACATGAGGTTTCTTACATTTTTTAAAGAGACTAAAGCATTTATTAAAGAATAAAAACTTGTTATTATAAGGCAAAAGCAAGTGATGTTATTTACTATCTTCCCTAACCACCACATTTTCGTTGCTCTTATTTCGTTCTCCATTGTCTGTAACCAACTAGCTCCAAGCCATAGAGTAAAAAATACCTCACATATAGCTATAGATCATGATTGAATAATTTAAGACAATTCATTTG